AAAAATCAATTTCCCAAATTGATTGATAACTGACTGTATTTTTCTTATTTAAATTTATTTTAATAACTTTATTGACCAAAAGGAAATATGGCACAAAAGGCGGACTTCATGCTAGTAACATTCTCTCCCAGTCAACCATTATGAGGTAACTAATATAAAAAAGACACAATATATAAGTAAATATTTGAAAATTAAATAAATATATAAATTACCTATATAAAATAACCTACCTGTATGTAAATTCAATGGTTAATATTTGCATGCCATTTGATGTGGCGAAACATAATGGACATCTTGTAAACTTGACAAATGCAACATCTTATCTACAATGTTTCTGGCAAATAAATTTAATTTAATTTCAATCGAATTCTCCTTTTTTTTTTAAATCGGTTAAAAACATCTAAGTACATTTTACAAAACATACTGTTTATCTGTTTTTTTAAATCTGACCAAAATAACAATTTAAAAGGTTACGGATTTTGAGTAGGTATTCGTAGGTAGTCAGTGGATGCAGGTGGCTCAGGACCGTTCCTTATGGCAGTTTATAGAGGCGGCCTATGTTCAGCAGTGGACAGATATTGGTTGATAAGATGATGACGATGATTCGTAGTTACAAATTATACCTACTTTAAGATGATGTTACACACAAAAGGGCGAACATGGTATTTAAAAATAAAATCTGTCGATAATATAAAGAGTGTGTTGTACAGTTTTTCGTCAGACGTGTGGCTGACGAAAAACTGATAGAATTGTTTCTAACAGAAGTGCTCGCATAAGTAGAACAGGACACCATTCTTCGCTATTTCATTCTACTTCATAGATTCCATAGCGATAATGATTCTAATAATAGGTAGTTTCGTTTGCTACTCGTTTAGGGAGTTTGTACAGGAACATCGGAGATATAGCTTAAATATATATAAAAATAAATATACTTAATTGACAACTTCCTGCTTTTTCTAACTGTATTCCGAATATCTAAAGCTATGTAGGTAATAAGTGTGATAGCCCGATCCACTCGTTTTGGGTTATAATTATTATCATCATTTTAGCCATTATCCGTCCACTGCTGGTCTTTCTCATAGACTGCCATAAAGAGCGGTCCTGAGCCACCTGCATCCACTGATTCCCTGCAATACATTTTAGTTCGTCACTCCATCTAGTGGGGGGTCGTCCTACATTGCGTTTATCCGTAGCGTTCGCCACTCAAGAACCTTTCTTCCCCATCGGTTATCGGTTCTTCGAGCTATGTAATCAGCCCATTGCTACTTCAGCTTGTTTATCTTTTGGACTATATCAGTTATTTTGGTTCTTTTGCGGATATCCTCGTTTCCGATTCTATCACGCAAAGAGACACCGAGCATAGCTCTCTCCATAGTTCGCTGAGTAATTTGAAGCTTTTGCATACGGGAAATCGTGTAGGACCATGTTTCGTCATAGTGATCACTGGCAACACGCACTGGTTAAGGACCTTCGTCTTCAAATTCTAAGATATTTTGTATGAAAAGATGTGGTGTAGTTTCCCGAATACTGTCCAGCCGAGTTGGATTCGTCGATGGACCTGTCGGTCGAAATTGGACTTACCCATTCGGACAACTTGTTCCAGGTATATTCCTCGTATAGTCAATCTGGCACTGCTGAAGGGACTATAGTACCGCCAATGTCTCGACCAAATCGAAAAAAGGCTTTTTCATAGTCCACAAACGCCAGACATAGTGGCAGATTATACTCGTCGGCCTTCTGTATAATCTGCCGTAGCGTATGTATGACATAAGGCTTTAGCACCATAGACCACATGGTCTATGGTGCTAAAGCCTTTTCGGAAGCTAGCTTGCTTGAGTAGCTGGAAGTCGTCGAGTTTGCACGTAAGATGATTAGTCAGGATTCTCGAAAACAGTATGTAGTAGTATGTATGCCTCTGGCGTAACACTGTTATGGAAGACGAAATTAAATAGCTTCTGAAGAATTACAAGTACTGGTTTTTCAACCGCTCTTAGAAGCTCTGCTGTAACTCTGTCCTCCCCAGGTGCCTTGCCCTTTTTAAGCCATTTGAAAGCCATTTCAATATCCTACAAACTGACGTGCGGGATATCATCGGTATAGTGTCGGGTGACTTTAGCTCTTTGGTCGTTATTCGCATTGGTATGCGGTGTTAACGACGTTGTATACAGCTGTCCATAGAACATCTCAATCTCACATAAAATTTTAGATGCGGCGGAAATTATATCACCGGTGTCGGTCTTCAATTTTGTCAGTTGGCTTCGCCCAATAGCCAAATCTTACGCCAACAATTTAAAGCCTTGACGCCGGTCTAATGCCTTAACGCCACTTCCTCATAAGATCCAGAGTGCGATCAGAGAGTTTTCGGGTTCTTTTTGAGCGTTGGGACTTGCAAAATTTAGGTCCCATTGCTTAGACAATTTCCATTAGCTTATTGTTGATATCGTCCGCTGTTTCACAGTTCACCAGGCACTGAAAGCGATTCAACAGTTCGAGTTAAAAACCCTCGGAGTTTTCGATAACAGTATACGAAAGTCGGAGCGTAGACTTCTTCAAACGAAACTTTTCTAGCCTAATATTCAGGTTCAATGTGCCTCTTACCATTTGGTGATCCCTTTTGGTTTTATACCTGTTGATCACTGAGACATCATTGAACAAATGGCGATTTGTTGTCATAATAAAGTCTATCTTATTCTTTGTATATCCGTCGGGGCTAGCCCAAGTCTATTTCCTGTGTGACCACTTTTGGAAGAAGGAGTTCATCATAAACAGTCCCTCCTTCTCCATGAAGTCAGCTAATTGCTGTCCCCTAGGATTTCGCTGCCCGATACCGTAGTTCTCCATTCTTGTCTCATCATCTTTTCTTGTGCTCAGTTTAGCGTTGAAGTCCCCCATCAATACTGTGTATTGAGTATTAGAGGAATCTATGGTTTTTGTAATGTCCTCATATATTGCCTTCATCTCGTCATTGGAGTATGTCACGGTTGGCGCATATACCTGTATAACCTTCAGCGAATACCTTTTGGTAATTCTGAGTATCAGGTATATCACCTTTGTGGACACACTCTTGATCTTTAGAACATTATTAACGAGGGACTTGTGGACGATGAACCCTACACCACCGTGGGACGGATGGTGACCAACCCGGTAGTAGTACAATTTACCGGATTCACGGATCACCGTATCCTCCCCCCATCTTCGGACTTTAGATAAACCTATGATACCTCAGTGTAACTTGTTCACCTCTTCTTCCAGCTCTACAAGCTTTTCGTTGGTCCTTAAGGTTCGTGCATTGTATGTTGCCAGGTCCAATCGCTGGGATTGGTAGCGGAATCTCTGCCGGAGATTCTTAGCACCTTTCATTCTGCTCCGCCATTACCGTGATCAGGAATAACAGAGCCGCCGGGAACTGGCTGTTTATTTACCAATCAGTTTTGCCAATAGTTGCCACGCCTGGTAGGCGGGTTGGCAACTGCTGTTAGGTCTGTTAAGATATCTTAAAAGAGACGCTGCTACCCATCACTCGACCATAAGTTCCCTTAGTCGTCTCTTACGACACCCACGGGAAAGGAAGGGGTTGCCCATTCTATGCCGGGACCGACACTCATAATTATTAGAGGTCATAAAATAATTTATCTTATTTTGTTTATTAACATAGTTTTAAGCAAATGACCATCATTGACATTAAGAAATACAGTTAGTTTTCTAGGGATCACCTAAAACGCATATTCACACTCGACTACATACCCATATGATTCTAATCCTGGGATGGGCATTACACATTTCAAGATTAGCCTTGGTTCACCCATTGGCATTTTTTATAGACCTATGCTAACTAATATAGATTATAGTTATCTGACCTAAAATTATTATTATTAAAAAAAGATGCTTAACCGAGGAGTTAGAAAATATTTGGAGTAAGGGATTGAAGGTATGAATCTAGAGTGCGGTTTGTATGTACACCTATACGAACCTCTCGACTAATCGGCTATCATGGGGAATAAAAATGATTATACAGAAAGAAAGATCATACCTCACACAGTTCAAATGTAATTTTCACCAGACTTCAATAAGTTCTCAATTCGGTTGTATTTTTTTTATGTTTGTTACTTCATAATTCAAACAGTTATAAGTCGATGTGGAAAATTATTTTTTTTATCTGAATAGATATATTTACAGATTGGTCCCATAGAAATTTTATCGAAATCAATTCAGTAGTTTGGTTTTAAATAAAAATATTTGGTTTTGCCATAATCAAGGAGGGATTTCTGTGGTTGTCTTAATTGTGTCTAATAAGGACTACATAAGTGATATAAAAAAAGTAATATTTATATCGACAATCTTGATTTAACCCACACATCAGGAGTTAAAATGGTGAACATTTTTTTTTATTTTATTTAGAAATTTGAATTTTATTGAAAATAGAATTAGTGGACTTGCCTAGTTTCTTATATATACTTTAATTATACTAGGTACTTTAATAATAAAAACCTTAAACTTATGCATATAGGATAATTTTTGAAGAAAATGCCTAACAAAAGAATTCAACGCGTTTAGTGTTTCTGTTATAATGAACATACCTACATAAAGTACATATAGTTTTTAGTTATTAGACATCTACTTGTACTTTAAAAAGATTAACAGTCTTATCACGAACAGGTACTATTAAACTTAAAGACGCCTTATCAATATGACATATATACCAAAAATAATTATATTAAAAGTAAATTATAAATATATAGCTACATTAATAACCTCATAATACAAGCGCAATCCAACAATACAGCGATGAATACAGCGCTTCATTCCTTATTAATAATAGCGCACCATCAATGGCACGCGATTATTTTATTGCTTGAATAAAAACAATATAATCGCAGCGGGCGGAGCGTGTATCAGAAATATCAGTTTGATATCGCGCGACTTGATTCGCCGCCACGCGGACGCCTTAAGGCGGGGCTTCGTTGGAGAGGGGGCACCAAACACGAGATCTGGGCATACCATTCCGTGCGAGCTCCCGAGGCGCTCGTATCTCGTCCCGTTCACGCTGATTGTCCGCAATCGCGCTCGTTTTATGTGCGTTCCGTGTGTGAGGGTGTGAGCACGTGCCCCTGTGTGGCGTATTCGTTCCCTCGTGCTGCAAAAACCGCCAAGATTCGGGTGAAGAACCGTGAGCCGGTGCCGGCGTACGCCATGGCCGACGCCGACCGTGATTCGGACCTTGGAGACGACAGTCCTGTGGTGAGTCGCTCATGTTTTGTTTTGCAACACATAAGGTTAATGACTCCTGATGTCGAGGATCACTTATGGCTCAAGTGCTTGCTAAGTTTATATCCTTCTGTTAAAGGTAATTAATTTGTAAATGTGGTTGTAACGGTGGTGGATATTTAGTTAATGATTATTTTTTTAGCGTGTGGGGACAATTATAAATTTATTGTATCTAATCGTTCAGTGTGGATGTAGCTAGTATGTTTCTAGTGGTAGGTAGGTAGTACATAATTATTAAATAAAATTAAACAGCGATATAATAGTTAGGTCCAAATTAATAAAACTAATTTGATTTGTTATAGTGCTTAAATACGAGTGTTTTTTTCTTTATTATATGAGCCATTAGTTGTCCACTGCTGAACATATGCTTTCCCCATAAGGGGTGTTTTGGCAGTAAGTAGTTGCCACGCTTGGCAGTTTTTCCTTTAATTGAGGAGAATTCATGTATACAAGTTTTATATGGTAAAAAATATCTAATTCATTATTCTAATATTTCAAATTAATACATAAAACTACATTCCGTATGTTGTAGCATGAGGCGTGGGATAGATTCATAAAACAACGGAATACAATTAAAATGTTAATAAACTATTTCATTGTTAGAAAGCATCAATTATTATTAAGTTGACTCTGAAACAAAGAATTGCGTTCAGTTTTACAGTTATGTTTTTCAGTTTACATTAACTATCACTAGTATCATACCATAATGTGCGGCGTCCATGTCTTTTATAATACTAAAATATTAATTACAAAAGCAATTGATAAGAAATTCTCTTCCATACTCAACACTTTCGAAAATATCACATATATATTTAGGCTCTTTTGAGTTTACTTAGGACTAACTATTGTATATAAACAAATATTGCGCGTATTTTTGCATCATGCAGTTACGACATCGGTTAAATCTTTGTCTGCATTATATGTAAACATGGTGGGTAGTGATCACAAGTAACAGATATTGTCGGTAGGCAATGCTTTTTTTAGACTTCTTCAAAGATTATTGCATCTAGGTTGTTCTGCAATTTCTTTTCTGCAGACGCTTTATCAGCCGTGTATTTGTTGTTTTCATTCTCGTTCATTCACAGTTCATTCTCGTGTTGTTTATACGATTGTTATGCATTCAAAATGGCGATTAATATGCGCCATTTTGAACTTAAATTTTCATATTAATATGACGAAATCGTACTAATATTAAAAAAAAATATGTTAATATTAATAAATATCAATTATTAAGAATATTTTAAATTTCTATTAAATATAAATACAAAAAAGTATGTTTAGGATTGTAATATCCTTATGACCATATGCCGCTCGGCAGTCAATGATGTTTGTCAACTTTTGGTTGTGATGAATGTAGCACTTCACTCACTTTGACGTGAACGAACTTACCGCCATCTCTCGGATTAATTTGGTTTGTTAACAGCGTTTTCGATCGCCAAAGTTATTTGGAAATAAACTGATATTCAAAATTTCGAATTCACCTTTGAGGTGTACGATAAGTCAGGGTAGTCCACCACTAAGTAACGATGCTTTCTTCCATTCGCCATTGTTGAATAATAGATGACAAATTATGAATATAATATCTGCATACATTTAAGAGCTAGTGGAGAGTTAAATATTGTCTATATCGATTTCTATCACTTGTTGTAAAATCAGGACAAATGTATATTATTACGGTAAAATTTACCCTTGAACATTTGTTATTGTAATTCGGAAGAGGCGCAGGTAATAAAACAAAATTTGATGGTCTTATGATAAATGGCAGTAACTTTGCAAATGACCCAAATATGCTCAGAGTGACATTAGAAACGAATTAGTAATTTACTATTAGACAAACGAATACACAAATATCTTTTTTAATAAATAGTTTTTTGTTTGTTTCTAAAGAGTTCTAATTTTGAAATATAGCTATTTAGTATTAGTTAAATAGTCATGTTTTCTTTTTATGAAAATTAGAATGGCAAACAACTGACGGCTTACCCGATGGAAACTGATAACCGTCGCCTACAGACATAAACAGTACCATGGACATAGCGGAGTATATTGTTTCGCTCATGATACCCCCATGCTTTGATATTCCTGAGGACTAAGATGTACCTCTGTACCTAGTGAATTCAGTGTATTGTATATATAAAAATATTTTTTTACGCAAAATAAACTTTAAACAGGCGTGATGATTTTAATGCAGCTTAAAAATATAGAAAGCTTTGATGATAATATTGTTTCCGTGGAGCACATCTGTTAATTTTATCTATTGTTCGGAGCAGGTAACGATTTTAAATATTTCATGCAAAATTGAACTGTAGTTACATTGAAAGTATTAACTAATAATAATTCGTGACCGTGATTGTTGTTGCCATTGCTCGCTTTTTCACCATTTGTCACAGACAATAAAATTGTGAAGTTAGATTTAAATCAACAGAGTAACAGAATATTTGACTGATATATCATATACATAAATTGAAAACCTTTATGTAACAAAAATAACATTATAAACAAAAAATATATTTTTATGCGTGTATGAGTATGTCAAATAGACTACTTCCTTATTCATAAAAACGCTAGCTATTGAATTGTTTTGTCCCATTTCTTTGGCGCTAAATTCCTAATGTGAAAGTGACAAAAGTATAAGAGTTAAAATAGGTTTGTAGAAGGTTTTAGTTTTTAGAAAGGGGTATATTTATTACATATTTAATTGAAAGAGTTTTTTTCCATATTGATCTGTACTACGTTGGTGAAATTAAAGGTATAAAACAAAATAAACATTATGTATTCGGGAAAATGATTGATTTATGTAAAATTTGTTATTTTTTGTTTTCGTAATATTGAAAATGGCGACAACAGGACACACGTGTGTTTACTTGAATGCCAGCGTTCAGGCGGCGTCCTTCCAAGATGGCGCCGTTATGATTATTAATAATAAATTCTCGTCTTGCGATTCGGTTTCAAGTTTATTTTATTATACAGAACGAAGGACGAACCTTTTACCATCTGTGCCGGCTCTAGGAAATTTGACTGCGCATTGTTTATTTAGCGGAACCATTTCGGTTGCTATTCTTGATCCGTTGAAAAAAGGACCAATGTATGTTTTCTCTTTCTTTTATTTTTTAAAGTTCGACGGTTAGAATTTTAAAATTATATGTAAAGTTTTATTAATTAAAATATTTATTTGAATAAAACTTGTCAGAGTTTTGATATAATTTTGCATAGTACTTTATGAATATCCTTATATTTAAATAAATGCGAAAGTTTGCGACGATAGATGGATGGGTGTTTGTCACACACAAAAACTACTAAATAGATTTGAATGAAATTTAGTACCTGGGTAACTTATTCCCAACTTAGCTAATAGGGTTCTTTATGTATTGAATCACGCAGGCGGAGTCGTGGGATACACTAGTGCAAAAGAATACATTGAGAGGTGGATGTATGTAATTTAAATTTTAATGTATGTAAGTAACCAATAAAACTGTTTTTATTACCTACATATATTATAATATATGTTTAAAGATGCCCTGTAGATACGTACGTATGAATATTTGCATTAGTTTAGAAGCAGACGTGAGGAATTCTAATGATCTGAAATACTTAGATGTGACAACTTTATTATTGGTCACCTGTATCATTAGCTGTCTATTTTGGTGCAGTCAGATATAATGTTTGCGTTTGACTCAATCATTTATTCAACGGCGTGTCCAACGCTGGAGACATCTCGCGGGAGGGCAGCGCACGAGCACGATTTATTATCCCCTCTCGACCAATAGGGGGCCGCAGATTAATTAATCAAACCTAGCTGTCAGTCAGTGCACAATCGTACCAAAGTTAAAGCAAACTCACGCGCCAGTTTCCTTTTCCTGTCGACGCCGCGACGTTTCATTAATTGAAATAATTGGCGTATTTTGGGATTTATTTTTTCGCGTTGACAACACTGCTCGACGGTTCACATTAATTTTAATTATGATACGTGATGATTTTGTTTCGTTCAGTTTCTTAGAAATCAATATATAGATATCCATGGTTATTTTGAGAAAAGATATGTTTAGAATAATCCTTTATATAGGTATTTAAGCAAACAATAACGATTATTTACTCACTTTTACATTTAAAATATTATTTATGTATTTATAAATATATATATTTAAGTAAGTTCATCAGTAGTTTACTTTACTACAAGCTCTTTTTAGTTCGGGATTAGATGTCGCTGAGTAATAGTCCAGTGGTATTATTAATACTGGCTAGGGGTCTAGGAAATCTTACCTGCTTGTTTGCTCACCTTGAACATGACCGTCCAATTAACAATGGTTTTTACTTTCATCGCCACTTCATACAATAGAGGAGTTACTCCTTTAGGTAGCTTTTGATTTACTCGAACGATTCTGATAGAATTTATGAAACTAATTTAATTGCAAACTGTTTGATTACTTTTATCAAATATTTTTACTCAGTGCCAATATTTATTGTGTAAGTCAAGAAGTAATAAATAAACAAACTAACTTTACAATTAATAATATTAGTAAGCTAATATTACTAATAGGTATACTAATACTCTACAACACATGCAAGAGTTACTTTGCAAAAAATAGACTTAAAACATTTTCATACGTGATAAAATTGATATGGATCCAACATTACCATTAACCCTATCGATTGCACAAAGAATTATCAAAATCGGTCTACAATTTGCGAAGATATCGCGTAACATACACACAAAAAATATAGAAGAATCGAGAACCTGCTTTGTAACTGCGCCGCACTTGTGTAAAGGGTCCCGAATTCGGCAGGTGTGCTATCTACCTGGGTCGCGTGCCTAAAAGTAACATCAATCCTATGCCATTATTACGTCAAAAGGACGTATTTTGCTCACACGTTTTTATATGTAGTCGTTAGTTCTGTATGGAAATAGAAAAAAAAACCATAGGAAGTGTGTCACTTTGTTTAGCAAGTGCAAACAAATGAATATGCTAATTTCAACA